ATTATTATTTTGCCTTTATTTATTGCACTTTGTGTGATTATGTTTGAGTTGTGTAGTAATTTTTGTGAGATCTTTTGTTTTGCTCCATTTTGTCGAGATATGTAACTCTTCTTGCTGTTGGATTTAGTTGTGTAGCGCAGGGGAAAGGTTGGCATTTGAAGACGGGGGATATAGAGAAGGGGCAGAGGGACTCAATTTAATCAGCGGTTTTGCTCAGTTATTGATCAGGCAGTGTCAAGCCATGTTGTTGCATTTTCACTCTGCATGTGAAATAAACAACAAAAATGAAGCATTGTTTATCGACTTTACCTTTTATTTATTTTTTTGCTTTTGAAAAATAGATCTTAGACTAATTATAAATTGTCTAATAAAGTACCGGGTACATGCCACCGGCAAATAAAGTATAATAGTCCACAAACTATGTTATCTTTGATAATAAATAAGAATCTTTCATCAAACCCAAAACGAACATGCATAAGCCCTCTTAAGATACAACAGTGGAAGTCTTGAGTATATTGTGAAAATTCTGTAATGAAAATCTTGCTTGCAGAAACACTACTACTGGTCTATGTATTCAGACAATACATTTTGTTGCTCGAAATGAATATCTGAGAAGCATGTTGTGTATCTCACATCGCAATCTTGCTGTGCCGAAGCCTAATTAGCTTGAGCGAGCACTCAGAATGGTTGTACTTTATGCTTAGGATCATATTGCCTGTGGTTTCAGGCTATGTTGTTTGATGTGGTAAATGTGTTTTGGTACCAATATAGATGCCTGAACTTCATCTACATATTAGGATGACCACTTAACAATGAAAATAAACTACTGCAGTGAAGTCTGACTCCTGTGAGGCCCTAAATTGACTGCGTATTGACACGGGAAGCAACAGCAGAGGCAGCGTTCTGTCTGTCACAACCTCTTTCTTTCTCCCTCCGAACTCACGATCCATGGAGGACGGGGTCTTACCGCTCTAGCAGTGTCTATGTGTTTGTGTGGGCGGGCGAGAGAATGCCTCACTATAGATTTTCCAGCAAATTAATGAAGGTACTGAGCAAACGAGGAGGAGGGAAGGAGCGAGAGAGAGAGAGAGATAGAAAGCCCCTTCACAGAGAACTGAGGGAAGCCCTTGCAGCGGGGGCGAGAGCCGAGCAGCTCCCTCACCCTTGATCTTTCAGCTGGCCGTGGGTGTGTGGACACGGGCACCCCAGAGTCCTGTGGGTAAAGCCTTCAGCCGGCCGCGTGAGTGGGTGAAGAAGACCTTTGATGACCTCCGAGGTGGAGGAGGTGATTTTTCTCCCCCATCCTCTGCACTTTTTTTTTGTTCATCTGTAGAGAGTTTAGCACGAGTCAGGGAGGAGAATCCGCGTGTTTAGCATGACTGCAAAGCCAACGCGGTCAAATTAACCGCCTCTGCATGGGACCCCTAGTGTTCTCTACCTCATTTGCTTCTCTGCTGTCTGATTTATAGTTGCCTACCTGGGCTGTTCTCTGCACACAGGCTGTCTAAAGGTCACATGAAAAATGGATGGCTCTTCGGTGCTGGGGAAGGAACTCAGGAGGAGATGCAGGGAGAAAGAGAGTCAGGAGGGACTAAGATGATGCCTGAATGCTTATGTGTAATGTTTCAGCTTCATCTTGATCTTTTTAAAATGCATTCATTTATTTGTTTAGCTATAATGTGTGTGTGCGTGTGTGTGTGTGGTCTGAGATGAGACCGTGCCTGCGTTACTCATAACTATGAAGTCCCTTCAGATAAAGTAAAGAAAGTGAATTAAAGCAATAGTGAAAAAGAAAAAAAACGCCCACGATTCCATCTGAATGACTGAGGATTAAAGAGGCATCGTCAATACTCACGTCAAACCAATACCTCCACTTCAAGTCAAATGAAACGTCACACGCACATGCTCTAACACCCATACTCCCCTGCAAATGCGTGCGTCGATGGTCACAGTAATCGTGTAGCCATTGCACACATGCGTTTTTGTACACGTTCCCTTGTATTTTCATTGGTGTGTGTGTGTGTGTGTGTCTGTTTTTCAATTAAGTTTAAGCTGCGACAGTGCTTTCTCACAACTCTCATCTTCTGGTCTCCAAGGTGATAAATAAATGATATTTTGTTACCTTCCCTGTGGGACACATATTATTTGGTCTATCTCTCTTTCCTTCCCCGTTCAGCTTATGAGCTGTAGTAGTCTTTGGACACCCACTAAGAACTTAGTGCCTAGGTAACCAGCCTTACAGGGGCAGAACACCTGCCACATTTTTTTTCAGCTTTGTAATACTTGAAGCTCGTTTCTGTGTGGAAACTAAATATATAAAAGTAGAAATTACCATGTACAAAGAAGATTATAACATTATATTGTGGTCCTATACAACTTTAAATAAGAAAAATGAAAACGAATTCACATTTTACCCATAATGTTTACGCATAAGAAAATATAAAATAATATATGATGGATTTCACTTCTGATCTGTTTTGTTTCGTGACAATTGTTTTTATGAAATTGACCCATTATAAGATGTTAAGACAAGTAGTGACATATATTAATTAATTATATATCAAGTATGTAATGAAGAGAAAATTATAACATTTAAGAATTTAAACGTACAAAAATATAGGAATCATAGAAAATTTCTTTTTAAAGCAGCACTATGCAGGATTTCCGTTTTTGTCAAACTGTGAGTCGCTGTGGAGTACTTGTACTGTCGTAAATAACACTCACGCAGAGATGTCTCTGCACTCATGGCCTGATCCCCTCTCCCCTGTATACCGGTACCTGTTCAGTAGGATGGAAGCTGTAACGAGTGGAAATAAGGTGTGGCCCCTTTAAGAGCTGCGCCCTGTTGAACTGTCGGCAGTCTGTATTGTATGCGCCTCGAACACCACATGTATACGGCGCCGGGTTATTTCTGTTTGATGCTCATTTTAGCGGATCTTTCTAGCAAATTTGCAGCAAATATGTTTTATTGCAAAAAGTGTACCATACACTATATCTGGCTTATTAGTGTTTATGATTTATTATTAGTTTGTTGTTAGTAAAATTTAGTATTATTTATATACTATTACAGTATGAATATTTTGAATTAGCTTTTACTTCTTTTTAGTTTTACTTTTAGCAAATTTGTTCTTTTGTAATTTTTTTTAGATTTTGTTTTATTTTTAAATATTTGTATTTTATAGCTTTTGTTTTACAAGTATTTTAGTCATTTAGTTTAGTAATTTTAGTACTTCAACTTTTTTTTAATTTCAGTTAGTTGCCAAGGCAACATTCTAATTTTCAAAAATTGTAATTTCCAATGTATGTTAATCTATAATATTTTTAATCAAATATTTTAATCTAATGTTTGCCCATCAAAATAATGTTATTAAAAACATATTTATTAGTTTTACTAGTTTGAGTTACCATATATACACAGTTACCAGTAACACTAGACACGGAGAGAACATTCAACAAAAGCAAATAGAACCCATTAAAATCAGTGATGCTGTCTACAGTGGATGTGGTGTGACCGAAAGCGACACGACAAATTCCCGACTGTAAACCGTTGCCCCGCTTTGTTTCTGACATACTTTATATGCTTTTTGTGACATCGAAGAACAAATGTATTTTGCAACGGTCGCTTTGTCGCATGCTGTGTTGACAGCCTCAAACTGTTGCGCCATGGTGTAAGACCCATGGTTTATCTCCAATACTGTCACTCAAGCATTTGTGGTACGCCACTGAGTTGGTATTTCAAAGATTGGCCTAATGTGAAGTTATAAAGAGGAATCAGAACAGATACTGTTATTCTAAACACCAGAAGCTGTTTTTCTATTTTGTAACTAATGATAAGAGTCAGATATGGAGAAAGTTCACCAAAGGTTTTGTTGTTTCTGGCTTTCAGCATTATAAGTGAGTGGCTTATGTTTATTTTTAACAATGCCTCTGATCAGCTCCCATGTTAGTCTGACCTTAATAGTTTATGATGCACATATCTGGCCCTGTTTACACGAGAACGCTCACAGGTGAAAACGTAAAAACATTTTATAAGATGTGCCTTTCGTTTACACGGCGGTGGCGTTTTTGCGGCTTAAAAATTAAAAAAAAATGTGAATAAAAAGTGATAACGCAAGGCCACTTTTGTGTTTTCTCTTCAGATCATTTCAGTGTAAACATAGCCTCAGTGTCACAATAAATGCAGGATTTGCAAACAATGTTACTGAAAGATGCAGTACCACAAATTATGATGCAGCACCACAAATTATGTCAGTTCTGACACAACAAACACAACCCATAAGCACTGTTACTCAGTCATTTCACATGAAGATGCCTGTAAGTCTTGAAGGTACTTAAGCAGAAATCAGAATGTTTAGCAGAGAGTGAAAAATTATCATGGAAAACTAAATAATGACTGTTCTTGTGTTGGAAACCTTGAGTAACTTTATAACTGGACCTCAAAAAATAAATAAATGAAAAAAAATATAATATAAATTTGGGATATATATATATATATATATATATATATATATATATATATATGAAGAGTTCAGATGCAAAAGCCTCTAAATGCCATTTGAAATTTTCTTCTAAAATGACCATTTTTATCAAGCTTGTATATTTAAGTTCAGTAATTTCACTTAAATGACAAATAATAGGTAATCTTCATTGCCATTTAAGTGAAATTACTGAACTTAAATATACAAGCTTGATAAAAATGATCATTTTAGAAGAAAATTTCAAATGGCATTTAGAGGCTTTTGCATCTGAACTCTTCATATATATATATATATATATATATATATATATAAACTGTTATCGACATTGACAATAATAAGAAATGTTTGTTGAACACCAAATCAACACATATTAGAACGATTTCTGGAGGATCATGTGACAGACACTGAAGACTGCAGTACAGTTTATATATATATATATATATATATATATATATATATATATATTGTGAATCCTTGTCATCTTCATCTTATTTTGTATTTTTGCTTTTCTCTTTTGTTTAGGGGCCAGGTGAAGCCAGTACTAGGAAGGTTCAGTGAGCTGAATGACCTGCTCCCAAAGTTGGGATTGGGTCCAGGGGGTGTGGATGCTGCTCTTCTGGATGCAGGTTGCTCCTCCATGCAGATGGATTCAGCAGAAAGGGGCTTCTCCCTCAGCAAGGATGGACCGCTAGACATGAGGATGGACAGAGACAGGTTCGACTACTACCGTGGCTCACTTCTTTTCAGTATAAGGACTCATTGTCACTGTTGTTTCAAGAATCATTTATGATATTAGTAATGCCTGATTCACACTCGATATACACTGATGGCCAGAGTTATTGTTATTGGCTTATTGATTACATCTACAGAGTCTCCATGCTTCTCTATTATAGCTATTCAAAACTGATTCTGAACAGGTGTAAGGCATAACCTAATTACAGCTTAATATAATAAAAGATGACTACTGCAGAGCCTGGTGATTCAGAGACTGAGCTTTGTGGAGCACATGGAATGTTAGCTTTAAGATTGTGGGTAAATGAACAGAACTAATTTAGGTAGCGAGAAGGACCCCCGAAGATCAGGTATTTCTTTGGACAGTGGTTTTCAATCCTAGGACCTTTACATGAAGCCAGTTTAGGTGGCTAGCCAGATATGTTTTAGTTTAGTTTGGTGAAAATGGCTTCATGAAAGTGGCTCGTTGTTTATCACCATAGTAACTTAAACTCAATGGCTAACCTGCTCCTGGGCAGGTTATGACCTGGGTAAAAGATCTCAAACCAAAATTAGATCAGCTGTGAGCAAAGTGACACATTTCTGATGCAATAGTCACTCCCCCAGTTTCTCTAAATATACCTAAAAGATTTCAAAGAAAAAAACTTGTCTGGCTTTCAGTAATGACTATTTATTCAATAGTTTTTTTGATTTATATACCCTACTATTTATATACTTATTATACCCTTAATCCATTACACATAAGCAATATTATTTTAACAATTATTAAAGGTAGTTCACCCAAAAATGTAAATTCTGTCATTAATTACTCACCCTCGTCATTCCAAACTCGTAAGACTTTCGTTCATCTTCAGAACACAAATCTTTTTGATGAAATCCGAGAGATTTCTGTCCCTTCATTGACCGCTACGCAACTACCAATTTGACGCTTTTAAAAGTTCATAAAAATATTGATTGTAAACTAATGAACATATAAATTAAGTCCAAATTTTCTGAGGAGACCCGATCACTTTAAATGATGAACAGATTAAATTTAGGCTTTTATTAATCAACTTGGTGTTGGTGCTTGGTGTTGAAAAATTATTTGAAAATTGACAAATTGGCAAACTTACAGATCCAGTAGTAAGATGACAAGATTTATCTTGAACTCTGTCATGGAAACTATATATAAACCTTAATCAAACAATTTAATAATCAATTGAAAAAAGTAATTTATACCTGTATGATATTACGCTGTACCCACATTGGACCAACGGTTGGGAAAATGGATTGATGGTCAGATGTGGCGATTCAGCTCGTGACTGTCACACGGTGCATTATGGGCATTCTCTAGATGCTTAGTGTAGATCGGTTGTACACTCGTTATTGCAATGCATTGTTGAATTGAATGAGTGCACTCGATAATGTCCACCATGGTTTTGGACTGTCCCTTCAAATAGTGCGATTTCAGACATAGCCCTAGAGTGGTTTTATCATCGACATAATCTATTACACCTCACATGCAAACCCGTTTCTCTCTGATTTTAAGAAGAGCGAGGACCTTCCTCTCTTATTAGGAAGTTTTGTCAAAGTTTTTACTGTGATAATGAGGTGGAAATCCCACCCACTGTAACTGACTGAACTTTTTTTTCTGGGGGCGAGATGAAATGGTTGAAAAAAGAGAGACACCCAAAGGAAAAAGAGAACGGGCAAGATATAGTGCAGGTCGTTCCAGGTCCTGCCCACGGTATCTGAATGCACTTTATTTACGTGAGAATTAAACTTTACGACAGCATGACGCTGTCAGACAAATCTAGCTGGCCTTCAAGAAAAACATAGCATACCTTTCATTAGTCAGCATGTCTCCCTTTTTGAGTTACTCATTCTGTGCTTTTAGTTATGCTCACATGAATGACAAACTAAATAGGAGAGAAAACATTCAAGGATAATGCGAGATCCAGAACGACGTTGGTTTCAAAAGTAAGGTTATGATAAAAGGTTCATCATGCATCCCTCAGTGTGTTGCATGCCTTTTATGGATAAAGTTGACTCCATGTGACTAATGACTGAAACTGCTTTTGCCCATGCTCACTTTCCAGTGTCAGTAAGAGTACACACAAAAAATATATTTTGAAGTTATAAAAAATGTTCACATTTAAATTAATTTAGTTACTTGTCAGATCAATTTCCGGGTGAAAATTGATTGAATTTTTTTGTTTGTGTACCCGAGAGCTCAGTTTTTCTTTGTTTCCCAAAGAGTCAAAGAGATGTGCCATTCAGAACCCAAAGTATCAAACCCAAATCTCAGTAAATAATTACATAAGTAAGTACAAACATGAAGACTTGAACATCTGAGTCAAGATGTTTAGGGAATATGTGAATTAACGTGAGCATATGAACCGCAAGTGTGGTGAACAGCTGCCGACTAAAACTGACTTGATGAAATATTACGTTTTATTCGTATTAATAAACTGATATGTATGTCCCCTTTATTTAGGTGTGTAATTTTGTCTCATTTACCCTGGTTTCTTTGTTCTTCCCCGAGTGTGCACACATATTTTACTAAAGAAAGCAAAAGTGAATGCATAATTCAGATCATGATTTGATATTTTTATATTTGTCGTTAACCGCTTCTCCCTCCTGCTCTCTCATGTACACACATGCACGCTCTCTCTCTTTTTATAGATCTCAAGCCCACATCTCCCAGAGTGGGAAGGGTGGGAGGGGTTTTCACTGGTGTCTTAGAGCTGTCAGGCTTGGCTTCTGTCAGCCAGGAACTTGTGACGTCAAGCTGCTTAATTGGGCTCCTCTTTGTGCGTAGGTACCCCGACATGCCCTGCGCGGCTGACGTGGTCAACGCCTTAGATCAACAGGCGCTTGCGTCCGTATTGGCTGCGTATGGGGAGGAGCGGCACACCAGGAAAATTGCGGCGGCCATCGCACAGGCACGCAGCGTCTACCCCATCAGCCGGACCCTGCAACTGGCCAGCATCGTAGCAGGTACCCCCCCTCATTAATTCCCTACACTAGAGGGAGGCTAGGAGAGAGACCAATATTAATGCAAACTCTCCCTGTGGGACCTATTTGTCCTGGAAAAAGAGAGGGGGAGAAAAGATAGCATTTTCTAATCCGAAATCTCTGACGTTCTCCTTCCCCCCACTAAGCTGCCTGTTTCTCACTGTCTGAGTATCCATCAGCAGCACATGCCTTGTGGTTGACGAGGCTCTTATTAATAAAAACCAGAGCGATTTAGGGAGCGGTAGGGAAAACCTGCAGGTGAGGCTCAATGCGTTTTTTAGCCCCTTTCCTTAATTCGTATTTAGACTCGCACTCTCATCCTCTCCTCCCCCAGACTCCCCCCTCCTTGTACCCTTTGATTTGTTTCTCACACTCGCTCCCTCCCTTTTCGTGCCCTTCACTGCACCCCCACCAACACACTTCTCCAAACGCACGTGTCACACGCACCACATTGCGGCAGCTCGATGCTTTTTGATATTATATTTATCGTGTGCTTTTTTTTTTTTACCGGCGCCGTTTCCATAGCCCGACGCTGGCGACATAGTCACTTCAGAAGATGACGGTAGCACGAGGCAAGCACATGCGTCACGCCGGGAGAACAGGTGTGACTAAGGGCAGTTGTTTGATCTTCTTTGAAGAGTAGAGCGAGTCAACAACAATGTTTATTCCAATCAATCTGGAAGCTTCTGACTCCCGAGGGTCCCTGGGGGTCAGCGATGGGCTGCCGGCATTACTGTTGCCAAGAGAAGCAATTGATAGACCAGGAGGTGGGATGATATGTGTGCATTTGTATACGTGTGTATTTTTCAGTGCTGATGATGGAGGAAAGGGAGGGGTTTAGACACCATAACAATGGCCATCATGGGAGTTCTCCCTCTTATGAGCTCTTTGTTTCCTTACGTGAGCAACCAAAGCACCACAACACCTCAATACCCTTGCTTTTGGAGGCGAGTTCCAGAACCTGTCGCCACCTTGGTTACGGTGCATCGTAATAGTCACCAGTCACTGTCCCTTTGATAAACACGTTTCCTTTGTTTAGCATCATTTATTCATTTGCTTTTTACACTGCAACAAAAGAAACAAAATAAAACAAAGAAAATACAATTTTAGCCTCTCTACTTTTCTTTACTTTAATTGTGTTACTTGTCGTTTCTTGGTAATTATTTGTAAAATTCACTAGCAATTTCTAAGTGAAAAGTTTCAAAGTTTTTTTTTTCAGTCTACATTAGTTACTGGTTGGAAGGGTTTATTCCATGTTAAAATGGGGAATCCGCTCTATTTAGTGAAACACATTAGACAAGAGACGAGGTCACGGCAGTGTAATATTCTCATCAGTATGAACCCAGCTGGCGTGACAGAAGATTATCCAGATTCCCTAAGGAAAGTGTCCCTCAATCCCAATGCTCAGATCAGCTTTCTACATATCAGACCACTTTGAATCATAATGAGCGTCAGCACAAAATTGGCTTAGAGCCAGTAACTCGCACCCTCACTGACCCCAGACAACAGCCGCACCAACCCCTTTCACACACCTTGAAGCCATCCATCCATCCAGCTTTACCATAAAACATTCAGACTTATTTGTTGCAGCTCACAGGTTTTGACAGCATGGTTAAACAGTTGTCTAAGCTGCTGGTCATGCTTTAATATCCCTGTAAGAGATACTAATCAGCCCACTATTGATCACTTGTTGAGAAGCAGACTTGTTGGAGCACTGATGAAAATTGATCTTTTGTTTTCTCCCGAGTTTTCGGAGGCCTACATCACAGTTTTGGAATTAAGGCAGCCCTTAATGTTTATATTTGTGTTAACTGGAGTTCGCTCTCCATGATGCTACTTTTGTAAAACAGGATATGTTTTTTTCTCTTTGCTTATTCGGTTGTTTGTTTACTGGCTATTTTACACAAAATCTAGTTTTATTTCAACCTAAAGGAATAGTTCACCCTAAATGAAATATGTCATAATTTACTCACACTGATGTGTGTTTGCTGACATTCTTTGTATGGACAAAAGAAAAAAAAAAGATTGCACAAAATATTTTCATTTGTGTGAACTTTGGAATGACATAAGGATCACACAATTTTCATATTTGGCTGAACAATCCCTTTATTATCTTTTGCTATCCCCTTTGCATTCAGAATGTGGATAATGCTTCCTTGTGCAGCTTAGCATTTATCTATTCAATTAGTATTTACTGGAATCTTTTTATTCAAAGCAGTCAATTGTTATTTTTGATTAACTTTGGATCACATTCAATTTCAGACATATTTCTAGCATTTCGACTGCAAGATGAAAATACAAGGAACAATATCACGATGCGTCTCGACGTGTCGCAAGAGACTGTAAACAACAAACACAACTGGCTGCACTGTTTGCCACAAATAGCTGCACTGTTTGCCATAAAGTAATGGAAAATAACTTACAACTTTCTGTCATAGGGACAAATAGACTTCGGTTCAAAAATCTGAGAAGACATTATAGATCTGGAATTTAAAAAGTAATAAACGTCATGTTTATAGGATTGTGACACTGACCATATGTTCTTCCATTGAAGCACAATTATGAAATTTGTGTTATTTTTTCAACTCAACTTTTCACTTAAATTTTTACACTGATAATATAGTTGGTAATTAGTTGACTTTTGGACCACACTATATATTTTAAATGAATGTGAATTAAATTGATATTCATATTATAATATTCAATATTCATATTATATGGTAAATCTCCTCATTCTGAACGACTTTGCCTCTAGAACCACTGATGTCAATCAAATCATTTGTTAAATATTTGAGAGTAATTGAAAAATCGACTTTTTCCAATCTCCTCGTAGGTCATTTGTCCGATTTTCCCAAAACTTGACATCCATCATCTAGAGACCTTCATGGCAAATATTATCAAAAGAATTTTGATCTATTAAACTGTTTAGCAGACACGTGTGTGTGTCAACTATCAAAGATGAAGACTATAATACTACCTTCATCCACGAGGACCGACAGGATAAGAAATCTTTTAAATCTAATTTTTATAGCATTGACTGATAAATAAATGCTTAAAACCATTTTTTATTGCACTGGTAATATTGTTTTAATAAGTTTACAAAGAAATATGTGAAATATATATAGACCGGCATTAAAAGATAATATCATAATATATCCTAAGAACATTGAAAACATATTTGTATGTGTTTGTGTGTATACTGTTGGAAACAAACACTTTCAAAATTTGCAAAACTATGCAAAAGAGGCAACCCTTCCGGCGCACTCAGTATCTAAATTCACTCCCTTAAGTGCACTATATTAGTGAACTAATATAGGGAATAATGAATGAGGGTATAGGGGATGATTTCGGATACAGCCTAGGCCAGTCTTTCCCAACCCTGGTCCTGGAAGCCTACAAAGTCTGTGTGTCTCCTTAATCTTCTGCCATCTGCTGGTTATAATCTTTTTTTTTTTCATTCTCTTCACTAATATAGTTCTTTTCACATGTTTTGCTTTTTCATTCATATTTAGACATTATAAAATCACTATTATAATGCATTCACATTTTGTCTGTCTATCACTTAATTTGCATTGAGAACAGTGCAAACAATTGTGCCACATTATGATTAATGTGAAACCTGAAAATGTTGCTATACAGAGGAAATTCGCTGTAAACATTTTGTCACCCGTCATTTATTTCTAATATCTGTACCTACAACAAAAAGTGTGTGCATTCAAGAATAATTGTTTCAGCCCTTCTTTTCTCCATGTTTTAGCATATTCTTTTTCATGAATATTTGATGGCGTCAGCCCTACATTTCAGATTGACATAAACCCTGAGAGCATAGCTGGCATAAAGGTCTTAAAATGCTCAAACCCCATTCATTTCTGCTGGCAGCTATATGCAATAATTGTGATCTTTTTCTTGATAACTTTCCAATAACAGTAATTTTTCTGGACAGTTAACAAAATCAAACCATTGTCTCTAGAGAGTTCCCTATCATCCAATAGCAGTGCTGCCCTTTCAGCCTTAAATAACATTCATGAGGTTCTGTGTCCCAATGCAGTCTGTTTCTTATATAGAGGGGATTTACTTGGTAATAAGGAAGCATTACTCTTTGAAAGTCTTGTGCATAACAGCTACTGCCTGCCTTACCCAGAGCTAGAAACAAGGCACTTGTAATGGCCCTTCCTGAGCTGTCAAAAAAAAAAGCAGCATAAATTGGCACTACAGAAAAAATATAAGACCCTTCATCTCCGTTCTTACTGGAAACATGATGTGATCAGCATAGATTAGGAAATGTTGTGCACATTTTAGTTAACTCTTCTGGGTAAACAAGAAGATGGAAGGCTTTAATTTTAGTTATGTCTCTCTCTTTCACTTATTGCTCTTTTCTTTCCCAGAGGTGAACAAGGATAAATATGTAAGTGTCCGTGAGACACATTTGCTGGAAATGAGTCATCAGTGTGTTGTCATAGCATACGCAGGATTTAGTCTTTTCAACAAACATATTCACCCTTTAACCATATCAGTGTGCCATGATCAATGAGGAATAAACCATTTACTGAGTCACAACTCCATCTCACGCCATTTTCAAACATGGCTCATAGAAATGCAATCGAGTGCTTGGGTGTACAACCTAACATTTAAATGCTAAGCGTGTCTTGGCCAGATCCATGTGTTCACATGATCTATGTTATTTTTCTGTTCCTTTTCTCAAGCGAGCAAGTGGTGGATGAGTGAGTCAAATGTGAGGCACGTTTTAATCAATTCATCTTTAGGAGTTTGCTGACATTTGGACATATACTCGTTTAACAGGATCGGGCCTACACATCATGGTAGTTCACTTGCTCTGAATCTCTGTTCTACTGAAACAAGACATACAAATTTCAGGAGTGAAGCGTTAAAGCGTAAATTGCAGGTTAACCACTGTTGTGAACTTTTTTCTTCTAAAGTGTTTGAAAACTCGGAAGTATCTTTTTAAGCAGCGTTCTTTATTG